ACAAAGCATGCCCTAAGGATTCTTTTTCTTTACCTAATATCGATCGTATGATCGATGCCATGGCCGGCCACGAGACTCTCAGTTTTCTCGATGCCTACTCCGGGTACAACCAGATACAGATGAACCTGGAGGATCAGGAAAAGACTTCATTTATCACTAAGTACGGTACCTACTGTTATAACGTAATGTCATTCGGTCTAAAAAATGCTGGTGCAACTTATCAACGTCTAGTAAACCGAATGTTCAAAAAATAAATAGAAAAATCAATGGAAGTTTATATTGACGACATGTTAGTTAAGTCCCTGCGAGCAGAGGACCATTTAAAGCATTTGCAGGAAACTTTCGACATACTGAGGGAGTACAATATGAAGCTCAACCCCGAAAAAAGTATATTCGGGGTTGGCTCGGGCAAGTTTCTTGGTTTCATGGTGTCCAATCGAGATCAACCCCGATAAAATCAAAGCTATCGAGGACATCACGGTAGTAGATAATGTAAAGGTCGTGCAGAGGCTAACGGGACGGATAGCCGCCCTAGGACGATTCATTTCGAGATCCTCAGATAAGAGCCACCGATTTTTCTCACTACTTAAGAAGAAAAGCAACTTTGCATGGACTCCAGAATGCCAGCAGGCTTTGGAAGAATTAAAGCGGTATTTATCGAGCCTGCCGCTGCTTCATACCCCGAAAGTAGACGAACAACTTTTCTTGTACTTAGCTGTCTCGGAGATAGCGGTAAGTGGAGTTCTGGTTCAAGAAGAATGAGGTACACAATTCCCTATTTATTATGTCAGTCGGACCTTGGGCGAGGCCGAAACTAGAACCATATTTCTAGTGTCATCCGATACATGTTGTAACGACTTATCCTCTTCGAAATATTTTGCACAAACCCGAGCTTTCGGGTCGATTATCCAAATAGGCCATAGAAATCGGCGGGTACCATATTGAGTATCGACCCGGAACCGCTATCAAATCTCAAATCTTAGCGGACTTCGTGGTTGACTTTACGCCGGCCTTCGTACCCGAGATTGAAAAAGAACTACTGATAAAATTGGGTACCTATTCGGGAGACTGGACCCTCTTTACGGACGGTGCCTCGAACGCGAAGGGGTCCGAACTAGGCATCGTACTAAAATCACTCACATGTAATGTAGTTAGATAGTCTATCAGAACTACAAAATTGACTAACAATGAGGCCGAGTATGAGGCCATGATTGCAGGTCTCGAACCAGCTAGAAGCTTGGGAGCGAAAGTTGTAGAGGCTAAGTGTGATTCCCTCCTCATGGTGAACCAAGTTAACAGGACTTTTGAAGTCCGAGAAGATCGAATGCAGAGGTACTTGGACAAACTACAGGTGTCTCTACATCGATTTAAGGAATAGACCTTGCAACATGTACCACGAGAACAGAACAGCGAGGCCGACACTCTTGCAAACTTAGGATCATCGGTCGAAGAAGACGAACTCAACTCGAGGACTGTCGTACAACTCATGAGATCGGTAATCGAAGAAGGTCACGCCGAGATAAACTCCGCAAGCTTAACCTGGGATTGGAGAAACAAATACATAAAGTACTTCAAGAATGGGAAGCTTTCATCAGATCCAAAGGAATCGAGAGCGTTGCGCACAAAGGCAGCACGGTTCATCTTGTCCGAAGACGGAATGCTGTTTAGAAGGACGTTCGATGGACCATTGGCAATATGTTTGGTACCGGGAGATACCGATTACATCCTACGGGAAATTCACGAGGGCACTTGTGGATATCATTCTGGTGCCGATTCGCTGGTGCATAAAGTAATCAAAGCAGGGTATTATTAGACCGATATGAGCAAGGATGCAAGGGAGTTCGTTCGAAAATGCGACAAATGCCAAATGCATGCGCCCATGATTCATCAACCTGGGGAGCTACTCCACTAGATCCTATCTTCATGGCTTTTCATGAAATGGGAAATGGATATCGTTGGCCCCCTCCCATCGGCCCCAGGTAAGGCTCAGTTTATTTTGTTTATGACTGATTATTTCTCTAAATGGGTTGAAGCACAGGCTTTCGAGAAAGTCAGAGAAAAAGAAGTAATAGACTTCATTTGGGACCACATCGTATGTCGATTCGGGATGCCATCCGAGATTGTATGTGATAATGGAAAATAATTCATCTGCAGCAAAGTAACTAAATTTCTCGAGGATCACAAGATCAAAAGGATCATATCAACGTCGTATTATCCCAGCGGGAACGGACAAGCCGAATCGACCAACAAAACCATCATCCAAAATCTCAAGAAGAGATTGATCGACGCCAAAGGAAAATGGAGAGAAATACTACCTGAGGTCCTATGGGCATACCGCACAACATCGAAATCTAGTACCGGAGCAACACCATTCTCGTTGGTTTATGGTGCCGAAGCTCTTATCCCGATCGAGGTCGGAGAACCTAGCATCAGGTTCCAATATGCAACAGTGGAGTCGAATAACGAGATCATGAATACGAGCCTAGAATTGTTGGACGAAAGACGAGAAGACGCTCTCGTCCGATTGGCCGCCCAAAAACAGCGGATCGAAAGGTACTACAATCGAAAAACCAATCTTCGATATTTTAACATCGTGAACTTGGAACTAAGAAAAGTCCCCCTCAACACCCGAAATCTGAATGAAGGAAAACTGGGTCTGAACTGGAAAGGACCTTATCAGGTTCTCGAAATCGTCGGAAAAGGATCCTACAAGCTCAGTATGATAAACGGCAAACAACTACCGAGCAATTTGAACGTATCGCACCTAAAACGATACTACTTCTAAGGTACGGCCCCCCCATGTTCATTTGTATTTCGAAACTAACCCTTGCAGGTGTTCGAGCGGAAACAAGGATGGATTCTTCAAACACGAAGCCTTTAGGTCTGAAAGCACACGTTGCACTCTTTTTCCCTTAGACCCGTTTTGTCCCAAATGGGTTTTCCGGTGAGGTTTTTAATGAGGCAACCATTGATTGTGCTAACTTAGAACAATTCAACAGTATCTGAGGCCTCTTTACAATCAACCTCGAATATTGGGGGGCATCACCCTCGGATATTAAGTTCTGGCAAGCTCGTTACTTTATAGCAACATGGTCTCGATAGGAAAAATTTGTAAGGGCCAAATGGTCAAACGAACCGTGCCCGCATAGTTTGCTCGAGCCCAGGCACAAAACATGTACGCATGTATAATGACCTATAAAGAGAAATTTTTCCTTTACCGATATCTCATACCTCAGAAAGGTTCTTCTGCTTCATATTCTCGATCTATTATGCAAACATGCTTAAGGGCCGACCATGGCCGGAGTTCGAATGATAACCCCGAATCGGGGACTATGCATAAAGCCTAAGGGCTACCTTAATTCGAGTTCGAGAATTCATTCTCACTCGATTGTAAAGCCTAAGGGCTACCTTAATTCGAGTTTGAGAAATCATTCTCACTCGACTGTAAAACCTAAGGGCTACCTTAATTCGAGTTCGAGAAATCATTCTCACTCGACTGTAAAACCTAAGGGCTACCTTAATTCGAGTTCGAGAAATCATTCTCACTCGACTGTAAAGCCTAAGGGCTATCTTAGTTCGAGTTCGAGCAAATTCTCACTCGACTACAAAGCCCAAGGGCTACCTTAATTCGAATTTGAGAAATCATTCTCACTCGACTGTAAAGCCTAAGGGCTACCTTAATTCGAGTTCGAGAAATCATTCTCACTCGACTGTAAAGCCTAAGGGATACCTTAGTTCGAGTTCGAGCAAATTCTCACTCGACTACAAAGCCCAAGGGCTACCTTGATTCGAGTTCGAACTATAACCCCGAATCGGGGACTACATATAAAGACTAAGGGCTGTTTTTTACTTCGAGTTCGAGCAAACACTCACTCGACTGTAAAGCCTAAGGGCCACCTTAGTTCGAGTTCGAGCAAATTCTCACTCAACTACAAAGCCCATGGGCTACCTTGATTCGAGTTCGAACTATAACCCCGAATTGGGGACTACGTATAAAGCCTAAGGGCTGTTTTTTATTTCAAGTTCGAGCAAACACTCACTCGACCATAAAGCTTAAGTGCTATTTTTTACTTCGAGTTCGAGCAAACAGTCACTCGACCATAAAGCCTAAGGGTTGTTTTTTTACTTCGAGTTCGAGCAAACACTCACTCGACCATATAGCCTAAGGGTTGTTTTTTACTTCGAGTTCGAGCAAACACTCACTCGACCATATAGCCTAAGGGTTGTTTTTTACTTCGAGTTCGAGCAAACACTCACTCGACCATAAAGCCTAAGGGCTTTTTTTTACTTCGAGTTCGAGCAAACACTCACTCAACCATAAAGCCTAAGGGCTATTTTTTACTTCGAGTTCGAGCAAACACTCACTCGACCTTAAAGCTTAAGTGTTGTTTTTTACTTCGAGTTTGAGCAAATCATTTACAAAGCAGAAAGGAAGAAAGTTTTTTATACATGTCGAAAATTATTTACAAGGGCAGCATGACCCGATTAAATTTCTACACAAAAAATACTAAAGGACTTAGTCCTCTCCATGAGCAGCATCTTCGCCCTCGAGGCCCCCTTCACTTTCGGCTCCACTCATACTCCTGGTATCATCATCATCGGGAAAAGCCAACACTCTGGTTCCAGCTTCAAGCTCCTTAGCTCTCTCGATCTCGGCTGTAAGATCGAAGCCACGAGCATGGATATCTTCAAGAGTCTCCCTTCGAGACTAGCATTTAGCATGCTCGACAACCCAGTTTGCTTGAGCCTGAGCAGCTTCGGCATCATATCGGTAAACGACCACCATTGCATCAGCATTGGCCATGGTTTTCTCGACCTCCGATTTTGCCGCTGCAAGTTCTGTGGCCAGTTTCTCTCGATCAGAATTTGCTGAGCTCAACCGAGACTGGAACTCCTCGATCTTCTTGGCTTCCACCAAGGATTTTTCTTTCAAGCTTCGGAGTTGGGCCTCAGTCGAAGCCAGTTGAGTTCGGGCGGTCTCCTTTTCTGAGGCGAGGCGGTCCATGTTCTTCTTCCATTCCTCGGCCTCTGACTTCACTATATCCACTTCAACACGAAGCTGCCTGATCACGTCGAACTTTTTTGCTTGACCTGCGGGACCGAACTATTAGCCATCATTTCCGAGTCAATATCGTTAAATTCAAAGAATCGTTTTACCTGCTCGGCTAGCTCAGTTTGTTCTTTCCGAGATGCTTCTAGCTCAGACCGAAGTCCTTTTACTTCTCCTTCTCTCTGCTCACTGAGAAGCTTGAAGGCATCTCTCTCGTCAGTAAGCCTTCGAACTTCGGCTTCGTACCAGCTCAGCTCCCCTCGGAATTGGAGAAAAGCCTCGTGATAAAGCACAAAAGCCTACAAAAATAAAAGGAAAGATTATACAAGGAAAGGAAAACACAAGTATGAAAACTGGTAAAGAAAGTATGGACTTACCCGATTCAGGGCCTGTTGGGCTTCGTTGAAAAGGCAAGGCGCTCCCACCTCGCTCGAGCTCTTCTTTAAAGCCTCCAAGTCACTCGGACCGGTGACATCTTCTACCCCGATAAAATAACCACGGAAAGGATCCTCCTCTCCATGGGCTCCCTCCCCGTGACAAGTCTCCACAGCTTGAGCATCATGTATCATCGACTGGGAAAATGAAGGGAAAGAGGGGGAATCCCTGATCTCTATTGCCCCGAGTAGGTCTTTTTGGGCGTCGCCTCCGTCTTGGGGAGCCTCGAGCTCGGTTCGCACACCGGCATCCACAGCTTCTTCGACAGTCTCTTTGCCCCGAGGTAAAACATCCTCGGTCCCCCTCGGCTCGGGAACTTGGGTCAAAGCCTCCTCCTCGACCTCATCAAGCCTGGATGGAGCAGTATCAACTCCCACCGATACCGAGGTATTTTGAGTATCGGTGCTAGCCCGTGCACGGGCCACCAGCCCGGAATCACTTTCTTCTTCTTCTTCTTCTTCTTCATCCCTTAGACTCAGGATCGACTCCATAGTCAAAGGGATTACGTTCACCTTGGGTTTTCGAGCCGCTCTCTTCCTGGGTTTTTGGCCCTCGGAGTCTGAGGCCCTTTTTCTCTTAATTACCTTCTCCGATTTTGAGATAGGCGGTAAAGCTTCTTCATCACCTGATGGGGGTCTCATAACCGCATCTTTTCCGAGACTTATAAAGAAAGAAAAGTAAGTAAAACTTATGCCCGAGAAAATGCTTGAACAGTAAGCAAATCGGTAAGCCGAGAAGAAGGTTTACCATGAGTACGAGCTTCCCACCGACCCTTTGACAAATCGCGCCATGCGCGCTCAGCATATTTTGACGTCAAAATCAGGCTCCTGACTCAGCTCTCGAGGTGGGGAACCGCATCCGGCATCCAAGCAACGGATGCATCGAAAAGAACACTAATAAGAAAGGATGAAGAAGTTAAACAACAAATAAAAATTTAAAAGGGAATCGTACTTACGTTTTATATTTCATTTCTCGGAAAATGGCATACTCTTAACCGGGATCAGGTCTGAGGTCTTCACCCTAACGAACTGGCCCATCCAACCCCGATCTTTATCTTCGTCTATACTCGAGGTAAACGCCTCGGTGGCCCGGCGTTGAAGCTTTATCATCCCATCTCGGTAGAGTCGAGGGCTATATAACCTTATGAGGTGGTCGAGGGTAAAGAGAAACCCATCAATTTTGCTCACGAAGAACTGGAGCAGTATCACGATCCTCCGAAAAGAAGGATGAATTTGGCCGAGGGTCACCTGGTATTTCTTGCAAAAATCAATGATGACCAGATCGAGAGGACCCATCGTAAAAGGATAGACCCATCGTAAAAGGATAAGTGTAAACACTCATATACCCTTTCACGTGGGTAGTGATCGATACCTCCAGTGCCAGTATCACAACCTCTTTGTTCTCCCAATTGCAAACTTTCTTCACCAAATCAAGAACGTTTTTGGATATCGAGCACATATATCTCGATACAGGCTCACACCGANTTGTTTCCCCAATTGCAATCTTTTTTCGCACGATCAAGAAGGCTTCTGGGTATCGAGCATATATATCTCGATATCGGTTCTCATCGACTAGGAAACGGTGAGGGTTTCTTAACCTTAAAGTCGGAATCAATAATGCCCCCCCCGGAAACAAGTTCTTCAAGGTGTGGCTCCACCACTGTTTTCTCGCCAGCTGACCGAGATGAAGAAGCAGCCTCTTTTGTGGAACGGTTTTAGATGTTTTGGCCATCTAAAGTTCTGTGAGCAGAGAAGAAGGGAGATTGAAGTATTTGGTGTTTTGAAGAACAAGCAGAGAAATTCCAAAACTTGGAGATAGGAAGCTTTGGGGAAGACAAAGAAACTGTGAAGATTGGAATGAAAAGAGATTTGAAAGTAAAAGTTTGAAATAATGAAGAAGGAGGCTATTTATAGATTTCACAGTGACGGTTCAAAATTGGCAGTGGCCGACCATCGACTGACTTGCATTTAATGACTTGGTAACTGGACCGACGGGACGTTTGTCACATACGTCACAACCGGGCTCGTCGCAGACGTCAGTATTATCTAGTCAGAGGTAGAAAAATCATATCGTTTCTCGCCACCTTCTTTCCGAGAAACGAGGGGACTATCTGTATACGGTCGAAACCGAGTTTGCCCTTCTTGCGGCTAATCATGATGGACCGAGGTTCGTCATTATAATATCGAGTTGTGAGGTGAAGTTGGAAGGTCGAGCTCGAGAACTAGAGACCGATCAATATCGAGCTCGAGACCTAAAGACCGACCAATAACGAGACAGGCCAAGATCGAGATCGAGCCAAGAGATAAAAGAGTCGTTATAACCGCATTTGGGGAGAGGATCTCGGCAAAAATCAAGGAAAAACTAATTAATTAATCTATTATGGGATCCCCACTATGTATTTTTTATATACCCAAGATAGGATTTCCCCACTATATTAAGAATGTTATCATTTGTAAGAGAAGACACACACACATTCATATATTCTCATATTCAGAGATTATTAAGATTTATAATATATAGTCAAATATTATCCTTTTTGGGGCTTACGACTTTGATTCATCTTGTTTGTTTACCAATCCTTCTCTATTCAATTTGGGTTGGTATTCATTCCCTTTTACCGTCATTATTCTATGTATTTCTACTTATTTTTTCAATTTGTACCAAGTTATACCACATATTTTTAGAACTACGTATAAATTCAACTCTAACCGTTTTTCGGGTAAACAGATTCTACTTTCATAACGTTTGATTTTATACATAAAGCTAATATTCTTTCCATCTTAAATTGTTGTTTTCAAAATTTCTGTTACAGGCAACGGAAATAGAAAATTAAAAGATAATTGGAACAGTAAAAAGCGAACACATGCTCATTGTTAGATGATTCTCATGATACTACCAGATTATAAGCTTTGGTGGTTCCGTCTTAAATTGTTCAAAATAATTTTACAGTTTTTGGAGATCAATTTTATAATTTTATTAAATAATGTCAACTGAAAAGAAATACATTGAATAATCTTAGAATTTACGGTTAGTTTGTTAGGTTTACAAGCAAAGATATTAGGTAATCATGCTAATCAAAGGTGGAGCACAATTGTATGTTCATATTGAGTATAGTAGCAGAAATCAAAATCAAAAATTTAAATTGCTATTCGTAATCAACCCTACTGACTACTATAACGTAGGATCCCCTTTACTTTTCCCCTTTCCCTCCCTAATGTGACAAAATGAAAATTAAGAATTAAGAGGCAAGAAGAGAGCAAAAAAAGGGGTAGAAAAAGAAGGTGCATTAACCACTGAATTCAGAAGAGTCAAACATTACCTAGATATCAAAACCACATGACTAGAGTGAAAGATTGAGGTCCAACATGTGATGATTATTTTTTCCTTCTTTTGAATCTTCTTCTTCTTTTCTTCCTACATTTTGTTCTTCATCTTCTTTTTGTTGTTGTTTCTTGGAATTAGAAGTAGAAGGAGCTGCAGTTGCAGAAGCATCAATTCCCATGAAATCTTGTGGATTCCAATTAACTCCAATATTAGCTGCACTAGTATTTGCAGACTTAATGTTAATATCATGATTGTCTTCAAAAATCTTTGATGATGTGTCTACTTGTACATGATTTCGGGCAATCAAACGGTCACGTACATCTTTAGTGCTTCTTATAAGTGCAAAAAACTTCTCCATTTTCTCTTCCTCATCTTCTTCTTCCTGTTGTTCTACTGATCTCTCATTCTCCATATTCTTCCTCTTTGTCCTTCTCTCTCTATCCATAATATCCCTTTCTGATTTCTGATAATGAGAGAGGGGGCCAAATATGGAAGATAAGGTTTGCCCCTTCTTAATAAACTACTCACTCCCCCAACTACCTCCCCACCCCACCCCACC